GCTAATAAAATTGATATTTCTAATTTTTTTTAAATTCACAAAAATGAAAATGAAGCAAATCTATTTACAAGTACTATCTAGTATATAGTACTTAGCTTCCCCCCCCCCCCATCTTCGGTGTACATCAGAAGTCATCTTTTAAAGAAAAAATTTTTCTTAAGCTCTTTATGTGAGAAAAGGATGTGAATTTATCAATTCATATCCTGTGACTGAATTACAGGAATGTTACTATATAGAAAACATGTTCTAAATGTACCCACAATGTGTATTTTGAGAGTCTGGAATTGGGTGATATACCTTAGTGTTTTTGGGGGGAGGGGAGCGTTGGGTTTTTTTTGTTTGTTTGTTTGTTTGTTTTGGCACCTGGCTTGTATGGGGACCCATGACCTTGGTGTTATAAGGCTTTTGGTCTCTTCACAGGTCAATGGAGATAATAGTAATACCTAATTCATTCAATGTAAAGTACTCATTTCAGAACTTGGCACAAAGTAGGCATCCAATAAACTATAAATGTCATCTTTCCTTTTCTCATAAAGGTTGTTTCTTACAGAGGTTGTTCTTTGGCTGTAGATGACTTGCGGTGGTTAGACTATTGGATGAGTGACAGAGAGAACTTAAACAAATTATGGTAGCTGAACAATTAATTACAACCAGTGCCAGACACTACCTCCATAAATGTTCTCAACCTTGGCTGTACATTGAATCACCTATTGAGCTTTAAAAAATGCTGATATCTGGGCTTTACACCCAGAGATTCTTTAATTAATCTGGAGTGCAGCCTGGCAATAGAATTTTTCAAATCTTCCTAGATAGTGATTCCAATATGCAGCCAAAGACTGAGAACATTGCTTTATGGCAACAACCATACCCTGAGGGTTATTCTGTTCTAGAGCTTAAAAATATTGTATAAGAGTTATGTCGGAGGAAAAGCTTTTCTAAGAAAGTTCTAACAGACCAGGAGTTTGCCTGTTGACCAAACTCAGCTCCATTCCTGTTTTTCTAAAGAAAATTTTATTAGAACACAGCCGTGCTCATTTGTTTACATATGGTTTATGACTGATTTCATATTACACCAGCAGAGTTGAAGTTAAAATAGAGACTATGACCCACAAAGCCTAAAATATTACTTCCTGGCCCTTTATAGGAAATGTGTCTGACCCTTGCTGTAGACCACTTACCAGCTGAATTATGATGCCAAATTTCTAGAATGCATTCAAGAAAATCTACTCACTACACACAAGTATCTTCTAGATTATTTTCAAGTTCTTTTGTTAAAAAAAAAAAGTCAGCATTATACTCAAAATTCAATAATAATATGTTATAATGCATTGAATAATCATTTTTGCCACTTTTTTTGAGACTTGCCTGAACAAAACTTCACACTTTTAATGTAGTAAAGTTTCTCTTTAAATTTTAAGTTTTGTAGAAATTTCAATAATCCACTTATCAAGAAATTTAACGTAGGACACTCTGACATAACTTTCTGGCTAAAAACATAGAAAACTGGAGGGTTACTCATCATATGTATTCAGTCAACCATGAATGCCTTTTTAAATGATACTAACATGGGTTGGCTGGTTAAATCACTCTAAGTGCAAGAGTTCGGACCCCCATACAGGCCAGTTGCGACCCTCCTCCCCCCAAAAAAAGATGTTAGCAGTTAACTCTGTATAGCTTTATCTGCTTTGTTTTCAAGTTTTATTTTTAAGTTCTTAACAGAAGAGGATTCTTGTGCATTTCTCTTTCTTGCTTATTCATAAAAATGGAGCTGCTGCTGCCGGAAGAGTGGGTGGATGGTACAGCAACACCAGGTCACAGAGGACGCGCTCAGTAATATCTTCAAGGTCTCTTCTGTCACCTTCCCTCCTTAACCAATCAAGACTTCATCAGGAATTATATTCTCCTCTTCTCCCCATCCCTAAACATAATCCCATCTTTCTGAACCAATTGGTAATTATGGTCCATATCTTGAAAGAGCCCAGATGCTGCAATCCATTATGTTTTATTGAGGAAGACCTCACTAGCATACAGCATCTAGGCACTTTGTGCTGTCTCAGCGTCATCATTGCTGATGGAAGCATGAATGCTCATTAGCATTTTAAGAGATTTTAATAAAAATTGTTAGTTGGACAATTGAAATGGGACAGGTTTAATCACGAATGCCATATTTGATCTCTCTGCTGCTAAATCAGTCTTTACTTCAGTAAGAGTAATTTTCTTATAAGAGACAAGAAATACAAAAATTTTGCAAGGGAACTATTGAGAATTTTGTAAAATCATAGCTTTATTGCCTGCAATTTCATTGCTCTTTGTCTGCATGTCTCTCAGTGCACTGGAAATGCTTTGCCTTATATTTAACAATAGATCCTTCACTTTTGCCAGCGATCTGTCCAGAGATCTTGGTGAATACCTAGCATTTATTGTACCTCTAGAGAGCCACGCTTCGTTACCATGAGGCCAAATGAACTTAATCACTGGCTGAGTGATTCCAGCGTAAAAGTGCAGATTCTTGCCTTAGCAAAACAACTCCCTTCCCAGCTCTTTGGAGTCATTTGTAACTATCAGTCCCTATTCTAGAACGTAGAGGTTTCACCAAAGCGTTTTAAGTGTACACACATGCCTCCTTATAAGATTGTAAACTTCTGGACGGTAATAATGGTGTCTTTGTCTTCATACCTTCAGGACAGCAAACATTGTTCCTATAGATGTTACTAAAGAGTGAGAAGAAAGGAAAATTGTCTGTGTCTAATTAGGTCTTTGTTCTGTTTTACAATAACAAAATTATCCCCTTTATTTTTTCATGCTTTTTGTTTTCTTCATGAAAGCTTTATTTTCAAATAAAGGAACATATTAGATAAGTAATGGGATAAGTCACTCCTGTTAACTGTATGTAGGTTTTTCATTTTTATTTTTATTTTTTAATGCTTAAGGTTTAACTCGTTTAAAAAAAATAATCAGTTTGAGTGTTTTGAAAAATGTTCTGGCCATCATTATTTCCTCAGAAAGCTGCATTTCTTGGTGATTTACTGAAGCCTTTCTCAGGTACACATGAAAATGGCCTTTCACTTGTCCCCATGCCATGCCCCCTCCTCTTGCCTCCTCCTCCCAAGACTCAAGGCTTCAGCCCAGTTGTGCCACTCTCCTTTAGTTGCTGCACAACCAGCTTCCACCACCTGTTCTGTTTCCTCCTCTCCTTCCCTGCTCCTTCTCACCCTTGAATCCCAACACAAACCAAGTTTGTAATTGCTGGGCTGTACAAGGAATCAGGATAGGGTGGGAGTAGGGGTTTAATCAAAATAAACATTGGGAAAGTTACAGTGATTCACAGGAACTCCATAAACACTCCAAGTAGTTACCTATTCATGTGCAAATGTACATGGACATAAAAAATGTTTGTGTTTCAGCCTTTCTGAGACTTCCTTTCTAGAGCATCCTTGAATCAGACACATCTGCTTGCAGTAAACCAATGCTTACTTAAATTAGCCCAGGAAAGGGACTGGTTAGAACATTACCCGCTTCCAGGACAGCTGAGCAAGCAGGCCTCAGAGCAGGGATAGAAGGCAGGTCTTAGGACCTCACCAGTGGGCATGGGGACCTGCACAGGGAGGGGAGATGGTTCCTGCCTGGTGCCCATGCCTGGCCCAGCTGGCTGTAGCCTGAGGCTGTGGGGCTGCTTTTGTCTGGACTGTGAGATTTAGACATGCAGGTAAACTGGTCCCTGTCTGCTGTCATTCCTGAGCATTGACAATCCAGTTTCCCCATCACTTTATTCTAGGGACAACCAGTGGTCAGCAGGGATCTTTCTGTTTATCTTTTGAGATACAACTTTCCAGAAAAATTACATTCTTCATATCCTTATTCTCTTAGAATTTGCCTGATATTAACTTAAATCTCTTATTTCCTTAACTGACAAACTGCAGTCTAGTAATTGTTTGATTAGAAGAGGAACAGACTTGGAATGAATTATTTAGCAAAAAGTCTTATAGCCATTTTTCATCCAACAATTCAAAACATTCTTAGTCACTTGTCTCAAGGCTCTGCGCTAGATGTTTTAAGGAAAGGTACTCATAACTAATATTGAGTTAGTATTATATGTCTGTGACTGTGCTAGATGATTTACAGATCTTTGAGCTGGGTACTGCAAGTGTCTCCATTTTCAGAGCACAAAATTAAGACTTGGAAAGTTTAACTTAAAAATTACTTGAGCTAATGTAAGAATAAAATTCACGAGAAAAAGTGGTCATGAAAATCCAATAGGGTTTTGGGGGGTGATATCACAACTATCCTTAGGAAAAGTTTCTCTGGCAATAATGTGTGGAATGGGATGGACTGAAAGTAACGAAGGAGTCCTTTGAAGTGCCAGGTGAAGCCAAAGCAGGACCTGAACTAGAGGAAATGGAATAGACAACAGCGTGATGTACTTTTAGACTTAATTTTAAGCCCTCTCTCTGGGCATTGCTTTTAAACATTCTAGCTTTTAAACATTCTAGCATAGAGTGCTGCTAATTTTGGAGTTGCCTTGAATTTCAGCAGCAAAATGAAACAAGACAAAACAGACAGAAAATAAATTTTGAAGACTTTTTATTGTCTACCAATTATTTTTTGTTATGAAGAAATAAGATGATTTAACTCCTAGGAGCCAGGTGTTTAGCCTGGAACTATTAGAATTATCTATAATTCTAAGCTTTATTTTGCTACTGAGTAGCTTGTTAAGCTATGGTGCCATAAAGTCTCTTTTACTTTATTTCATTGAAGTCAAAAGTAACACAATATCAATTTTCCTGATATCTAAATTGATTTGAAATATTATCTTTAAGGAAGAAATGAGTTAATGTGATGTGTTGTACGTAGGGAGAGAGGTGAGATGTGAAGAAGGGGAATGTTTCCTCTATTTCTACATTATACTTTTACATTCTATAAGCATTTTCTGTTGTCTAAGGATTAGCTAGCTATGGATTTGTAATTTATACTGATAAATAATGGTCGTCCTCTTTCAGCAGATTTCTGCTCACGGCAGATCTTCTTCTAATGTAAACGGTGGTCCAGAACTTGATCGTTGCATGAGTCCTGAAGGTACATCTCAATTTGATCAATACTTTTATCAGGGAAAGCAGCCATGTGAACCCACTTGTGCTAATTTAGGATCTTCCTAAACAGGGATGCAATCATGTCACTTATTAACACTTTTAGCCTTAGTGGGTGGTAGGGGTGAGGGTCACTTCAGGATACAATAAAATCTCATTGTTGTTAATGAGGCAGTCATGGTTCCAAATTTTATACTTGGGCTTCCTTTATTCCTTTAGTGGTGATCTGCTCACAACTCCTAAATGTATTTCCTTTCTCTCAATTAAATAACAAAAATGTGTCTCTTTATTTGATGTCTGCTATGTGCTGGGCACTGGGATACACTGTAAAAAGTGGTCTCATCTTAACTCCTCCACACACTCACCTTGTGGAGGAGGCTTTGAGCCAGGGATTAGCCTCAATGAGGCAACTGTTGGGAAAATAGAACGATTTAATTGGAGCTTCTCACCTGGGGCCAGTTGGGGGTGGTTCAGCGCATTCTCTGTAAACAAATTGTGGGTGGGGGGGTGGAGTTGGTGCACATGCACGGAGCCGTGGCTTTGCTGGCGTCTGCCTCAGGTGGATGCCACTCCACACAGCCATGTTATTTTCCAACCTACAGCTTCCAAGGACCTGTTTGTTAGTTACCTAGCTCATAGACCTGTGTGTGAGGGGTCTGGTGACCTAGCCTGGCATGTGAGGGGTCTGGGGACCCAGCCTGGCATGTGAAGGGTTTGGGAACCCAGCCTACGAACAAGCTCGAGGGGTCTTTGCACTCCAGATCCAGCCCTAGTTTGACAATTCGCCAGTCGGTGCAGGATTACAGGCAGGTAAAAGAGCCTGACAACTGGCATAGTCATGTAGCTTTACAGCATCTTAGCTGTGTAGAATTTTCTGCTAGAAAACCTTGAGAACATTTCTAAGATTAAATTCTTCCCTTTTCTTGAGCATTGACAAAAGAGTTGGAACAATGTTAGACTTCCTTTTTACTCAAGGCTCATCACTTATTTCAGCTAATATTTCAGGAATTTGTTAGGTCTACTGGTTGTTTCTGACTCCAACCAACAAAGTCAAAAGGAAATTGGTGATTCAGGTGTTCCATTAAGGAAATATGCACAGAGATTGTCTTAGTTTCACCATGGATTTAGAAATGTGTTGCAATTTATTATTTTACACATATGTAGAAATCAATATAAAATACTGATGTTTTCTTTAGACTTTGCATTTATCCTTTTTGCAGGTGTGAATGGAAACAGGTGCTCTGAATCATCAACTCTTCTTGAGAAATACAAAATTGGGAAGGTTATTGGTGATGGTAATTTTGCGGTAGTCAAAGAGTGTATGGACAGGTGAGTAGATAGGATAGTCATTTGTTTACATACATTTCCCCCTTGGGTTTATTCTTATCTTATCAAAAGGCCTTTCTGGGTAGTCTCTTCTTCCCCCACCCTGCAAGAGTCTACCCTTGGGACCAGCTGTTTTTGCATACCCATGAGCAATTTGGCAGGAAAAAATACATGTATATGCTTATAGCATAAAACTGTTTTGTATGCATTTGGGCAGAGAAACATATCAGGGTCTCACCCATGAGCCGATGAAGAATGAGAAAGAATAAGAGTTATTTGGGGGGAAAAAAAAAATCATTGGGCTGGCCGGTTATCTCAGTTGGTTAGAGCACAGCCTTATAACACCAAGGTGATGGGTTCAGTTCTGCATTCAAAAATAAATAAATAAATAAAAATCTCCTGTAACACATGTGCCAGGCACTCTTCTCAGTCTATACTTGTAGTAACTCATTTAATTCTTAGAAAAACCCTCTCAGTTAATACTTAACTGAATATATAGTTCAGAATACATGAGCTGTGACTCTATTTAAGATCTGAATCAGCAAAGTTTTGCCTATTTCAGGCCTTTTGTGTGTGTGTGTGTGGCTAGCCCGCATGGGGATCCAAACTCTAGACCTTGAAGTTATAATGCCTTGCTCTAACCAACTGAGCTAATGGGCCAGCACTTATTTCAAGTTACATAGGTAACTATCCTGTCTTTCCTAAATGGTGGTTTTTATTGCTTATGGGGAATTTTCCAGAAAGTTCTGGTAAATACAGTTTTTCCATTTTGTTACATCTCCAGTAAAGCTTTAGTGTTCCTTACATTGATTGGTACACAAGCTAACTCCTTGTTCTCCAAGCCTTTTTGTTTAGCTCTGGTACAAAGATTGCCACCCAACTAACAAATTAAGCATTTAAAATATGACTTCTAAAGACTCATTAGAAATCTGAGGCAGAGTTTGGTTTATGTTCATGGGGGGGAGCAATTTAAATAAAATTTATTTTTCCAAGCTAGGCCTCATTAGCATGTTCTATGACTGCATGCCAAAAGCAGCTACACTTAAGAGAACTAATGTTTTGTAAGAATACCGCAGTGTTCTTTATTGAACTGTTTTTCTATACTAAAAGATATTTTTTGGCATGTTCAGATTAAATTATGTGAAAGTTTAAAATTTTTTCAGTTAATTTGATCCATTTTTCTTGATTTCATTTTGTCTTCTAAGAGAACTATTTTGAGATTTAATATGAAAAAACTATTTCTTGTATAGCTCTGCTATAAAATTTAAATACTTTACATATAAGTTACTTAATATTTTTTAATTATTAATATTTATAAAAAGAGATTTAATTGACATACAGTCTGGCTTTGGATTTTTCTTTCTTTTTTGGGTAACTTTCTCCCCTGACCCCACTCAATACTGTCTCTGATGCACAGAGGAAGAAACCAAGTCTGTCTTCCCCATGTTTGTGCTATGGAGGAAGTCAGGAATGATGGTATCTTTGATTTAGGTCTTTAAGTGGTCTTACTCTGATTATTCCATAGGTCCACTGGAAAGGAGTTTGCCCTAAAGATTATAGACAAAGCCAAATGTTGTGGAAAGGTACAGTATACATAACTGCTTCATAAAACTGAAAGAAGTTGGTGAGATGTTTACTGTGATGAAGGAATCTAAGTGGGTATTTGATAAGACCATTATAGCAGGAGTAGATCACCAATAATAGTGGGGAAAACGATCAGGCTTCTTTTTCCTACCATTTTCCAGAAACTTTGATCCTAAAACAGTAAATTGATTTGATCTTGGTCCTAACTATAGAAAATGTAAATTTTCTTTTCTGGGAGATGCCAAAACCCAGCAATACTCAAAAAGTATGACAGGAACTGCAAGGGGTCTGAGACTTTACCCTACTTTCAAGCTAACAGTTTAACATTCCAGCTTCAGAGAGGCTGGCAGAAGATAAAAGATTCCTGGGTCAGAGACAAGAGACTTTATTACTTGTGGCACAGCAGGTAGCATGAACTTCATATTTGTATTGGTTACCCCCAAGTCCCATGGATGTGACATGGAGAGTCCCAGTTGGATGCTGTAGACACAGTGGGTTTGTGTCACAGCTGAGGAAGCCCAAGCTTAGGAAACCCTCAATCTTACAAGGTGGCTGCTAGCACCTGGCCAACTTTGTACCCAAGGAGAACGTTATTTTTATGATCCTTTTATCCCTAAAGGAGACCTTATCTCTATGTTCCAAGGGTTCTTGCTATACAAATATCCTTGGAAAGATAGTTTGGAACAAAAGATGATGCAAGATGTGCAGAAACACTGTGAAGAATTATCTCCACAACAAGATGAACTTTTATCTTCTGCCCACTCTCAAATTGGAGCTGGGAAAAGGTCAACTGATGAAGTGCGATTAGAGTACTGATACTTTAGCTGTATTTGGGGGAAAAAAAATTCTCTAACAGTAATGACAAAGACATTTTTAGATTCCTTTCTGGTTGTATATCAGTCAAGAGAGCAGGCTGTAGAATTGCACTGTCTAACCACATAGCTGCCAGCCACATATGGTTACTGAGCACTTGAAATGTGGCTAGTCTGAACTGAAATCTGCTAGAAGTATAAAATACACACCAGATTTTGAAGACTAAGTACTAAAATTAATGTAAAATATCTCATTAACATGTTTGTATTTGATTACATGTTGAAATAATATTTTTGATATATTGGGTTAAGTTATATTTTAAAAATTAAATTTACCTGCTTTTTACATTTGTTAATGTGGCTTTTAGAAAAGTTATAATTACATGTATGAATCACATATTTCTGTTGGACAATGCTGCTCTAGAGCCAGATTATATAAAATTTAATTCTGGCTTTGCCTCTTCTTGCTGGTTGAACTTGGAAAAATTATTAACACCTCTGTGCCTCTGTTTCTTCCTCTAAAATGTGGTTATTAGTAGCACCTAAGATATAAGGTTATTATGAGGATTGATTAAATTATGGCAAGGAAAACATGTAGAAAAGTCCCAGTATATAATAAGACTTGAACACATGTTAACTGTTAATATCACTGATATGCCAGGGGAATTTAGAATTTAGAATTAGCAGGATTTAGTATGATAGTAGTGATTTTATATTTATGGAATTTCTAAACTAGTCTTTATTTGACATCTACAAAATTGTGTATTTTTAACAGAAAACTTAAAATAGTTTGGTAAAGTTTTAGAAAAATCTTCGCAGATCTCCGGAAACGAAAATCCAGGAGGCAGATTTGCTATTTACTTATTTTACTCCTCTGGTGGTTAATGAAGCAGAGACTGTGCAAAATGCCTCCTTTTCTTTGAATAAGTAAGGTTTTCTTTTCTTTGTATTTAATTTTCTTTAAATAATTCTCTGTGCTTTTACTTACTCTTATAACAATATTATTAACTTTTCTCAACTGTAGTAGCCTTTCCCCGTCTATAAATAAGTGTTGCTCTTTCCAGCTGGTATTGTGTGATTTAAGCAGAACGTGTCATAATTTGAGGATCCAGATTCTATACAACTATATTATTTTTTAAAAAATATTGCTATGGTAAGAATATTGTTTACTTGAGAAAAATTTAAGCAGCTGTTTCCATAGTTGAGGGAAGATCTTTCTATGAAAAAAAAAAAAAATAGTCTGGTACACTAAGTACTGAGGTAAATGGTTAGGTCACTTCAAACATTTGGATCTTTTATTTTTCCTTGTTGTTGAATGTCATTCTATTTTTTTTAAAGTTTATGATCATACACTTATTTCCATCCTTACATTTTGTTTACTTGAACAACTATTTTCACATTAAGACTGTATAAAATTATAATTTCAGAACTCGATTTGTTGCAAATAAGTTGATTTTTTTCTCATTAAGTTTTATTTTTAGAAAAAAATGGTATAGAGAATTTGTTTTTTAAAAAACGAATTTGGGAGGGCATTCATCCACTGTTCAGGGGTATTGGTCACCTCTGCTTTGTGGGTTTTATACAGAAAGTTAATAATACTGAAAATAATATCTGCCATTTGTTAAAATATATTATTTATTCAGTCTTAGATATATAGGGATTTTGCACATTATCTTTAATGACTTGCAAAACAGATGTACTTTTACAGACAAGGAAATGCAGACTCAGATTAAATAACTTCCCAAAAGTCACAGAGAGGCAGAGCAATGACTGGAATTTGGGGCTGTTTGGTTACACAGCCTGTATATTGGCCAATCTACCATGCTCCCTCTCTAAGTTCAATGTATTCATTTCTTCATGTAATAAGAACCTGGGAAAAATTCTTAATCTCTCTTGTCTTCTATTTGCTCTACTGGAATATACATGAGCATTATTAGATTAATTTATTCATGTACCTAAGATTTGGTGGGTCTGTTCTGTGTGTAAGACACTGTCCTGGGGGAATTGGGTAATCTAACATAAATTAATACCAATTCTGCAGAGAGTGTTATGGGAGTTCAGAGGAAGCATATGGGAGAGAAGTAGGTGACCAGTGAAGATGCCATAGAGGAAGAAGCATTTGAGCTGGACCTGGAACAGTGGGTAGGATTTTGGTAGGCAGCAATGGAAGAAAGCTTGCCAGGTGGCCAGACAACCTGAGCAAAGGCCCAGAGGATGGAAAGCACGTTGGGGTCTTCTGAGCCGGAGATTATTGCAAGATCTGCCTTAGGGCCAGATTTATGGAGGCTGTTGAGAAGGCTGTGGTACTTGTAAATTTAAGAATTCTTCCAGTTCTAATATTCTCTTTGATTCTAAATAAATATTTATCGAATTCCCCCAGTACATAAAGCCCTGAGCTTTCTGTTATGGTCCTTCTCTCTCTTCCCACCTTACACAGTTTTGCATTCATCATCTACCTGTTACAGGCCCAGGCAAGACATAAATCTAAAAGTATTTTGTATTAGTTTCCTGAGGCTATTGGAATAAATTACCACAAATATGGTTGCTTAAAATAACAGGAAGTTATTCTGTCACAGTTCTTGAGGCTAGAAGTCAGAAATCCACGCTCCCTCTGGGGCTTTGGGGTAAAATCTGCTCCTTACCTCTAAACAGTGTTCTTGGGTTTGTGGCCACATTACTCCAGTCTCTGCCTCCATCATCAGCGTCTTCTCTTCTGTTTCTCTCCATCTGTGTGAAATATTCCTCTGCCACTTTCTGTAAGAACACTTGTGTTGGCATTTAGGTCCCTCCCAGGTAATTCAGGGTTATCTCTTCATTGCAGAATCATTAACCATCTGCAAAACCCCTTTTTCCAAATAAAGTAATATTTACAAGTTTCAGGGATTAGGACTTGATATCCCTGGGTAGCCATTATTCAATCTACTACATATATTTTCCACAGAAACCACATGTAGAGATTTGAACATTTTATATCTCTTACAGTATTATCCTCAGCAATGTTCACTAAGAATACAGATGTCAGCTGTAAAGTCGCTGTTGGGCAAGAGCAATGCATGGTGTTGATTTATTCACACAAGCACTTCAGTGCCTGCTGTGTGTTAGTAACTGGGCTAGTTGCTGGAGAGTGAGGTCAGTTCCAGAGCGTTACAGACCAGCACACAAACAGTTAAAGGAGAGTGGGAGGGCATCTGAGATTGGAGCAAGCGCAGGGGGCAAGGAGAGCACCGCAGCACCGCAGCACCGCAGCACCGGAAGGGGAATCTAATCTACCTCAAGTGAACAGGGCAGGCTACTTAGGAGAGGTGAGATCTAATCTTATCCTGAGGAATACATAATTCACCAAGAAGTAGTTAAAGAAAGTTCCAGATAGAGAAAACTACCTGGGCAAATGACAGAAGTTAAGGTGAGAGATTGGCAAGAGGGATAAAAGTGAGTGGGTGGATTCAGAGGCTACTGAGGAGGTACATGGGTAAGGGACTGGGGATTGATGGGATGTTAGAGGATGAGGGAAGGTGAAGTCAGGGTGGAATTTCTGTATCTGCTTTGGGCAGTCAGGTTCACCCAATGAGACAGAGAACACAGGAGGAAAGGACTGTTCTGTGGGTCTGGTTTGGGATATTTGCTTATTCTCCTAATCTTCCTCCCTCCCCCTCGCTCTTTTCCTCCCCATTAAAAATCACCAGGGCTGAAGATAAGGCAGTATCTTTTGCCAAGTTAACAGTTTTCTTTGTCATTTACTCTCACACAGAATCTTGGAACACTGCCATGAAATGATTCATATGTAAATTATTTGGAGTTAGGATCATGAATCGCTTAACATAAACGGTAGATGATTGAATAATGTAAGTTCAGTATGATTCAAGACAAAAGTGATATATTTAGAAATATTTTCTTTGAAAATGTAATCTATAGAGTATTTTTACATATTAGAAACAGAGTACATATGGGATGCATAAGAGATAGGAAGATAACATTTGTAAAGATTTTTATGTAGTACTTTTGCTTCTGTGATGGTTAGTTTAAAAAGCAATTGTTCCTTCATGGACAAGATACAAGGAGGTTGAGAAGCAAAATCTAACAGGTCCCACATCTCAAGAAAAGCATTCACTCTGTGCTTAGAATACTAACTATTGTCAAGTAGAATACAGGAAGCTAAGATAAATAATGGCGTAACACTGCTGGTGGCACTGAGAGAAGTTCTAAAATATATCCCAGAGGACTTTCTGTTGTGCCTTTCATTGAAAAAGATAACTTTTGGGAGGTGTAGTCTCCTTATGTGGTAGACATCTTATTTTAACTCTAATTTGAGAGAGGACACTGGTGATAGGGATTATTTTACATATATCACTCTAAATTAACATCATAAACAGAGCCCCTGAAGAGAGGTAAATTTATAGACTCTTCCAACTTTGGAGAAAATGAGCAGGGAGTAGAATTGAAGCAATAGATCTATTTAGCTTTAAAATAAAAAGCCTATTTTACTGCAGTGGTAGTAACTGCCATTGTCTTGCTTCACATAGAGTGAAATATGCATAAATGCATTTGCTTGCTTTTATGTGTTCACAAAAGCATATCTAACTCCACTTTTTTAGTGTGATTAAGGACATGCTTGACACAGATGATCCAGAAGCTTCAAAATTTGAGAATAAATGTGGAGGGCTTGCCAAGTCTTTGCTTTGTCTCTGTGACCACAAGGTCTGTACAGCTGCTTCCCTTGGGAGGGACCAGGGTGCTCTCTGCTTTGTGCAGCTGCTCTGTAACTTAGATGAGACCTGGAAACAGGTAGGAGGCCCTGTGCCTGGCTTGCCAGCTGTGGTTTGCTAGGTTCTGAGAACCACTGTTTTTTTCAATTTGGAAGCGTTGTTGAATCCTAAGCCAGTCAAAGACTGCTGGGCTCTTAAATTCATTAAAATTCATTAAAAGGAGACTAGATTCTCCTCCTTGCACGAAGCCTGGTGTGTTTCTTAACCCCCAGCCCAGTGTGATGCTGCCACTTGTTCCTATCTTTTCAAGGAATTAAATATTTTCAGCTTTATAGCTATCATTTTCATGTTGAAAAATCTCAACTTTTACCAAAGTATTCCCCTATGAAAGGTGATGATATGTAGTACAAGAAATGTGGGATGGGATGTCAGAAACCTAGGTTTACATTCCTACCTGCAAGGACTGTTCTAAGGAATAAAGTGTTAAAACATTACGCAAGTACTTTGCACAGCAACTGACAAATAGTGAGCAGTTCCCTTGTAAATCTTGGTTCCTTTCTTTCCCCTACCTCTGTTTAGCATTTGCACTGCCATTTGCCAACATTTGTTAAGTAACTACTTGGACAAGCACAGTGCATTCAACACTCAAGAAACAACCCCCCATGTGTAGGAGCTTGCAACAGATTTTTTTCTGTATGTTATTTGTTTATTTATTTATTATAACTTAAACATCCAGCTATTGTCAAAAAGGATTTGAGATGGCTTGGAGTAAAAATAAATGTACACATAGATGCACAAAGACAAGAGAGGAGCCCTTAAGTGGTATCCTGAACCTAGGGATAAAATATTTATCTTGCTACTCTATTAGAACACTAAATTTAGCTCTGAGATTCATGATAGCAAAGGCAAAAAGAACAATATGAGTGATACACAAACATATAAATCTATATATACACATATATGTATTTTTAAGTAGCAAGTGATATCTCTTGTAGGTTTTATATAGAAGCTATATTTGAATACCTAGAACATGTAAGAGAGCAGTTATCAAATTTTACAGAGCATTCTCTAAATTCAAAATAATTTATCATTAAAGTTAATGAGGATCAGCAAATGTGGCATTGTTGAGAGGTTTTCATGTCTCATTTAAAACAAAGCAATCATGTTCATGATTCATGTGTTGGTGTATTGAGAATAATTCCTTAATTCTGTAAGTAAACATCTTCCTACAGTGCTGATCCCAAATGCATTACTCACCAGGACTGATAATTAGGTGGTGTTTTCAGAGAAGTGATTAGAGTTAAAATGAGAATAGTGGTCCCCTTGGAACTGTATGTTTCCAGATTTCTGATGATAAGGAACATACATCTGGTAAATGATTTCATACCCAGACATAGAGGAAGAAAGTTTGTTTTTCATGAATTTACACAGGTAATGGTTTAAAATGTTTAATGCCAGAAGTTATATGCCATAAACATGCAAAGTTTTCTTATATGCCTAGTCTTTATTTCTGAGTGTACTGAAATTAAAATGTGGTTCCAGCTGAATTACAAAACACTGTGCTGTGTGCCCAAGCTTTCATAGCATCACAGCCTCTCAAGGTGTTGGAAATAATGAAGCAATAGAGGGCAATTGCCTTATGTGCTAGGGCAGCACCACTGATCCCTTGCAGGGGATGTTCAGAAGTCTGTTTCTTTTTGCTAGTGGCAATGAGATGTCCACCCTGACCTTTCCTGACCCTGCAGGACAACTAGGCCAGGGTTTGGTTGTCTTTGTGCAAGTAGAGATGCTTCTTTGGCATCAGATCTTTAGACTGTGTGTTTTCTTGTCCTTTAGGCCATAGGGAGAAAGAAAAGGGTTCTGTGATTTCTGATTTCCCTCTCTCCACTCTTTGACAGGAACACCTGATTGAGAATGAGGTGTCAATACTGCGCCGAGTGAAACATCCCAATATCATCATGCTGGTTGAGGAGATGGAAACAGCAACGGAGCTCTTTCTGGTGATGGAATTGGTTAAAGTAAGAGGATGGAGAGATTTCCTTTATGCTAAATCCCAAGAGTTGCAATATTCTTGAAGGATCTAATCAGAAAAGTGTTTCACTACCTTGTAACTTTTATTATTTGTAGTCATCAATTTTAGTGGCACTTTTATCATTTTCTTCATCTACTCCAGACCGATGAACCTTCTTTCTTACCTTTGTAGGACTGCACTGTTGATGTTTTGATACATTATTTTATGTATTCTTTAGGGTGGAGATCTCTTTGATGCAATTACCTCTTCAACCAAGTACACTGAGAGGGACGGCAGCGCCATGGTGTACAACCTAGCCAACGCCCTCCGGTATCTCCATGGCCTCAGCATTGTACACAGAGACATCAAGCCAGAGAATCTTCTGGTACATTAGCTCTGCTTTTCTGGTTCCAACTCATGCTTTTCTTCTTTTAAAATGATCATAATCATATGCAAACAATCATATGCAAATAACGGCATTTTAGAGTCTATACTAATCCTGCAATAAGGCACTAAGAGACTTTAAATTTAGAAAATTATCAAGACTCCAGTCAATAACCATAAAATACTAACAGATTTCTTAAACTGATCTGCATTACTGTTTACCAGACATTAGAAAATACATTTTCATTTATGTTTTGATTAATGGTACTGACTGAAGAAAAGTGAGTAGGAAAAATTGTGGGGCAAAAAATTGGAATATATTGGAGACATAGGCTCATAGGAGACAGAAGTAAAACAGAGGTTCATTTATGTGCAGGACAGAATTTTGGAAATAGTCTACTTCATTCATCTTAGCTTTACAGATGATTTTTCTTGTTTAGCTAATTTTTCTTGTTTAAAGTCTTTTTTATCCTATTGTTCTGTAGAAGAAGTCTTATTCTACTATGGCACTCAGAGACCTTCATAAGCTGCTCCAAATTTACCTTTCCAGCCTCCTGTCCTGTTACTAACCCTTCCTTATCCACCAGACCCAGCATGGCAGTCACCTTCAAGCCATATTTAACTCATCTTCATGGTGGGCTGTAGTAACTAAACACTGCTTGCTAGCTGATAGCTAGTCCTCATGACTACATTGTAGAGGAATTTTAGAGAAGCTAATTGGGAAACTTTGCAAGCACACACACCTCCAAATACACACAATATAGTTGGCATCTCTATTTTCACCTTTCAGGACTGAGTATCATAATTACTGCTTGGGAGGTGAGCTTATTCCCCCATCCTGAGAAGTTAAGACTTGACTTTATCAACAGCATTACACTTCCATTGCTTCTGTCCATATTGGTCTTTATTTGCAACGTCTTCTCTCCCAGCAAGGTGGGGAAACCCATTTATCTTATGAGACATTGAGCATATGTCGTCTTTGACATTGCTCCAGACTCTCTGGGCAGAGTTCAGTCATGGCCACCTCTGGTTTCTGCTGCACTTGCCACAGTGTTGTGATTTTATCATTAATTTGTCTGTCTCCTTCTTTACATTGTAAGTACCATAGGGACAAGGTTTGTGTTTCAGTTATCTTTATATCTCCAGTGCCTTGGACAGCCAAGTAAGCACATAGTGGACATACGGAATAAATGTTTGGTGGTTGACCATTCACAGGCACTCAGCTAGCAGCTGGAGATTGAACACAAGTCTTCAGAGCTTACTTCGCAAATAATACTGCACAAATAATATGCATTGAAAGGAATATGCATTGGTGTATAGGCTATAGTGCCATCCTGTGGGCTTTTTAATTTTTTCCTGCTAATCTACAGCATTCATTTTCCCTTTTTGGTAATACCATTTGATGATTTCTGAGTGTCCACTTAAAAGTGTGTGCTTTTTTTTATTACTCTCTTCTTCCTTGAGGGAATTTTATTTCATTTCTGTATGTTCCTATTAGGAAAAGAAATATCCCTGCTCTGTTTTCTAAAAAGAAAAAAGGCGTGTTATGTACTGGGTTTTGTGAACTGTGATGAGGAATGGAGACAGAGTTCTAAACCAAGTCTTAGGATGACAGTAAGGATATGTGCTCTCCTTGGAACAGGCTTCCCACCCATTATGACCTTGCAGTGTCTGCCAGGCACCTCCACCATCTGACTGAATTTGGCTAGGGGCTTCACTAGCAAAGGTGACAGGGCCACCTTTCTCCAAGTGCAGCCAGATACAAGTACTGTGGTGTCAATGAGGGTGCCCCTTTGACTTCTTCATGCTCTCACAGCTCACCTCACCCCAGTGGCTCCAGTTATTGACATTGTCTGTAAATATAGGAGCCACATGTTCCCGGGGAATCACTGGTAACTCTGGAGCCAGCCTGTCCTGCAGCTCTGATTGCTAAGGCCCAGTGAGGAAGGTGACTGAGGCATTAGTGAACCTCCCTGTAAACCAGAGAGTGTCCATTTCCCAGCTCACAGATCCCACTCTCACCTCCCATTTCTTCTCTTCTCCGCTCTCAGTTTAATATATGTAAAGTCTCCCCAGAATCTGATATCTGCTTTTCTCTTGTCATGTATCAAGGGTAGATGATGTAATGGGGATTGACATCTCCAGTAGCATGTGTCTCAGAATTTAACCAGGAAATCAGAATCACGTCCATCTAGTTTAACCTGGACTAGTGAGTGTTCACTTCTCTAAAACCTGCAGCAACCCCCTTGTGCTGCCCAAAGGGGAGGGAATATAAAACTGTTGTCTGATGAGGCTAATGTGTGATGCAGAAAAGCCATGGGGGATCAGGCTTCAGAAACCACCTTAGTTGTACACATCTAAGTAAAACATATGTCTGCCATTGAATAACTAAACCATTCAGCAATTCTAGATTTAGTCAGGTTGACATTGTCCTAGGAGGAGAAATTGCCATTGAGGCCCTAAAAGTAGATACCCAGAATGACTGTCAGACTCTTCCTGCTCTAAGGACTAATTCAGTTTTTAAACATGTGAGCATTCAGACATCAGATTTGCATCCCCTTCTCTGGAAGCAGTGTCATAATTTAAAGCCCTGCCAGCAGAGATGTATGGGTCGCCATGCCAGGGAGCACAGGGTGGCTGTTAAAGCTGTGAGTTACAGCCTGGTGGTGCCCTGTCAGAGTTAACTGAGGGAGACCAGTGATAAATCCAGCTTTTCCAGGAGTTCTGGGGACGGGGGAGAGAAGAAGTTTGGTTTCTCATATTTGAGGTCCTTCTAAATCATTATGTAGACATTTTATTTAGGGAACATGCAGCATTTCACTGTGTGTGTGGAATCTGCATTCCTCACATTTTTTTATTTTTGCATTCTGAGAGCAACTTTTGAAAGAGACATCTCTCAGCTTGTGGTGGAACATTTGAATACTGCAGGGTTATGCTTGTTTAAATCCACTCAATCTGTGTGCAAATGCAGGCTATAGTCAGCATTCTGGCAGGTCTACCCCGTTGTTTTTCAGTTACAAAATCTTTTGCAGAATGGTGGGGTAGAACCAATAATGGTCCTGGCTGGAATCCCTGCTTGTCCACTCACTAATAACTTGAGTTCTGTGTGCCTCAGTTTCCTCATCTGTAAAATGGAGATAACAGTTCTCTGCCTAATTGCCCAGTGGGGTGACTGTAGAGATCCAATGAGATAATATTTGGGAGAATATTAAAATCTCCAAAGTCCTTAAACATGTCAGTTACTTGGGAGAACTAAACTCTGCCAGAAAGCCTTTGGGGTCCCTGTTCATTTATTCACTTCTTTATTAAAATCAGGTTCTTAAAACAGTACTGTGTGTGTTCCCACATTTATATAAACCTCTATGTTTTTTCCTGCTTTGAAGAGAATCTCCAGCTAAGATTTGAAATTTACTCATATTATCTTTTACATATTTGCTTCTGTGTCTAGCATTGGAGAGAGATGAATCAGATAAAATATTACTTCAGGCTTCTCTGCCCCTTACGACATTTCCTTTTTGATGTTTAGTCATGGCGTACCACTTGCCCAGACATAATTCAGCAATCATAGACTGTTCAGTCCCTTTCTATTTATGCTTCTGCATCTGTTTCTGAATTCTTTATAGGGGAAGTAAAAAGGGGACTTCTGAGTATCTGACAACAACCCCTAAATACCCATAGGCATCTCTAAATTGAGTGTTTAACATAAACATTTTTCAAAAATTGTGCCTAATAAATGTATTTTTAAGTTATAAAAACAAAATAACAATGACATTAATAAGACTTTGTTTTTTACTCTCATAATACAGACGTTTAGGAAATTGTGCTTATAATGTTCTTATCACTGCAATTAGGGAATTTCTAAAGTCTGGGTTTCAGTAAATGCATCATAAATTCTAACTATAATTATATCAGATGGTTCTTATTAATGTTTACATTAAACATAATGGATGGAAAGTTGTACTGAGGCTGTGGAATGACTAAGAATCTGGAATCTCTCACTTTAGGCTAAATCATTAATAGTTTTGAGTATGTTTCTGCTGAGTTTTGGGCTGGCTCAGAGTTGTAAATATCTGTGAGGAACTCAAAATCCTCACCATTACTCCTATGGCACTTTAAAGTCATAAAGATGTATGCTGGGTACGTGTATATAATACATAAGCATGGAAGAAGTTATTAAAATACCAAGGTGAAAAATGTTCTTATTAAGTGGATAAGAGCGTCACAGGAAAGGGAGGTATTTCAGTGTCATCCTTTTCAAGATGCCTGTAAAGTTTGGAGAATCACTGATATGGGGGAGCCCTGGGGTTCTTGATCCTTTTTTATTGATGGCTGTATAAATCCCTCCCCCTCATTAAGTTATCAGACTAATGGATGACGTTAACATGCTTATCTTGAAAAAATATCATTTTCTAAATTTTTCTCCTCCTTTAGTAGTGGTTGAGATGAAAATCTGGTTCAGTTCATGGTAAAATACGAGGAAAAGCAAAGAAAAATATGTTTAAAAGATAAAAATACATGAGTAGTTAAGGATAACACAGTCAAATCTGAATTTTGCCGTTATGTACACTTGTTTGCTTCCAAAGCTATCCATTTAGAATGTTAACTTTCAGACTTTTATCTCATAAGGAAAGTTTGCTTATCTATAAAATTGATTTTTCCTGATTATGGAACCAGTACATATTCATTGTAAACATATTGGAAACTACTGGAAAGTACAAAGAAGAAAATTAAAGTAATCCTTAATGCTACCACCTAGAGATAAACTTGTTAGCATTGTGGGATATTATATTTTACATATAATTTTGAATACAGGCATACCTCAGAGATACTGTGGATTTGGTTCCAGACCACCACAATAAAGCCATTATCACAAAAAAGTGAGTCACACGAATATTTTTGGTTTCCCAGTGCATATAAAAGTTATGTTTACACTGTCCTGTAGTCTCTTAAGTGTGCAGCAGCATTATGTCTAAAACAAAAACAATGTACATACCTTAATTAAAAACACTTTTGCTAAAAAATGCTAATGATCATCTGAGCCTTCAGCCAGTCGTAATCTTTTCACTGCTGGATTGTCTTCCTTCTATGTCATTGGCTTCTGAATGATCAGGGTGGAGGTTGCCAAAGGTGGGGTGGCTATTTCTTAAGATAAGACAACAGTGAGGTTTGCCACATCGATTGACTCTTCCTTTTATGAAAGATTCCTCTGTAGCATGCGATGCTGTCTGATAGCATTATACTCATAGTAGAATTGCTTTCAGAATTGGAGTCAGTCCTCTCAATCCCTGCTGCTTCTTTATCAACTCAGTTTGTGTAATATTCTGAACCCTTTGTTGTCATTTCTACAATGTTCACAGCATCTTCAGCAATAGAGTCCATCTCCAGAAATCACTTACTTTGCTCATCCATAAGAAGCAACTCCTCATCAAAGTTTTATTATGTGATGGCAGAAATTCAGTCACATCTTCAGGCTCCACTTCTAATCCTAGTTCTCTTGCTGTTTTCACCACATCTGCATTTACTCCCTCCACTGATGTCTTGAACCCCTCAAAGTCATCCGTGAGGGCTGGAATCAGCTTCTTCCAAACTCCTGTTAATGTTGATGTTTTAATCTCTTCCCATGAATCACGTATATTCTTAATGGCATCTAGAAGGGTGACTCTTTTTCAGAAGGTTTTCCATTTACTTTGCCCAGATCCATCAGAGGAATAACTACAGTGGCAGCTATAGCCTTAAGAAATGCATTTCTTTTTTTTCTCCCCCCCCCTCCCTTTTTTTTTTTGTCTTTTTTCGTGTCCGGCAATGGATCGCAACCCTCAGTGTCGCGCCCGTACCGGACCGGGACCGGCAACGGGATCGCAACCCTTGGTGTTGCTCCCACACCTCGCTCAGCCAGTGAGCGGGAACCTGTCTGTATATGGGATCCGAACCCTCGGCGGGAGCACCACCGCGCTCCCAAGCGGCGCACTGTAGCAGTGCGCCACCGGGCCGGCCCAAGAAATGCATTTCTTAAATAATAAGACTAGAAAGACAAAATTACTGCTTCATCCATGGGCTGCAGAATAGATGTTATATTAGCAGGCATGAAAACAACATGAATCTCCTTGTACGTCTCCATAACAGCTCTTGGGTGACCGAGTACATTGTCAATGAGCAGTAAGATTTTGAAAGGAATCTTTTTTTCTGAGCAGTAGTTCTCAACAGTGGGCTTAAAATATTCAGTAAATGATGCTGCAAATAGATGCGCAGTCTTCCAGGCTTTGTTGTTCCACTTAAAGACCACAGGCAGACTAGGTTAACATAATTCTTAAGGCCCTTCGATTAAATGAGCATTGGCTTCAACTGAAAGTCACCAGCTGCATTAGACCCTCACAAGAGGGTCAGCCTGTCCTTTGAAGCAAGACACTGACTTTCTCTAGCTGTGAAAGTCCTAGACGGCATCTTCTTCTAGCATAAGGCTGTTTTGTCTACATTGAAAATCTGTTGTTCAGTCAGTGATCTTAGCTGGGTCCTCCAGCATCAGTGCTTGCTTTTTAACCTCGCACTCGTGTGTTACGGAGACGGCTTCTTTCCTTAAACGTCATGAACCAACCTCTGCTAGAGTCACAGTTTTCTTCTGCAGCTTCCTCACCCCTCAGCCTTCATAGAATTGAAGGGAGTTAGGGCCTTGCTCTGGATTAGGTTTTGACTTATGGGAATGTTGTGGCTGGTTTGATCTTCTGTCCAGACCCCTAAAGCTTTCTCCACACCAGCAGTAAGGCTGTTTCACTTATCATGTGTGCGTTCACTGGAGTAGCAGTTTTCACTTCTTTCAAGAACTTTTCCTTGGCACTCACAACTTGGCTCTTTGGCACAAGAGGCCTAGCTTTCAACCTGTCTCAGCTTTTGCCATCCCCTTTCTCACTAAGCTTAGTCATTTCTAGCTTTTGATTTAAAGTGAAATATATGACTCTTCCTTTCACTTGAACACTTAGAGGCCATTGTAGGGTTATTAACTGGCCTAATTTCAACATTGTTGTGTATCAGGGAATAGGGAGGCCAGAGGAGGGGGAAAGAGATGAGGCTACAGCCAGTTGGTGGAGCAGCCAGAACACACACAACGTTTATCGAGTTCTCTTATATAGACATGGTTTGTGGTGCCCCCAAAACAATTACAATAGTGACATCAAAGATCATGGATCACAGTTGACCATAACAAATATAATAATAATGAAATACTGTGAGAATTACCAAAATGTGACACAGAGCAAAGTGAGCACATGCTGTTGGAAAAATGGTGCTGATAGTCTTGCTGTATGCAGGGTTGCCACAAACCTTCAGTTTGTACAAAATAATTAATTAAATAAAAATTTTAAAGACCCAGTATCTACAAAGCGCAATAAAGTGAAGCACAATAAAATGAGGTATGTCTGTATTCATTTTTTTACTTGATGTAATATAGTATTTCCCATATGATATTTATTTGAAAAGTGCTTATTAACAAATGCATGACATTTTATTATAGGGATGTACTATAATTTACTAAATCATTGCCTTCTTAGTCATTTAGGTTTAGGTTACTTACAGTTTTTACAAATTGTAAGTAAGTTCTGTGATTGGAATCCTTGTTTATAAGCTTTGGGTCCATCTCTCTTCCCTCAGAGTAGGTTCTTAGGAGTAGACTTACTGGGTCAAAGGTTATAAACAATATTAAGAAATTTGATATATATTGCTGAAATACTTTCTAGTAAAGTTGCTTCAGTTTAAGCAGAAACATTCACATATTCACCAATATTTTTAAACTTTTTCCAGTATGGTAATTAACCAGCCAGCCCTTCTAGGAAATAGAAGGGAAATTTATTGACCCCTGTTCCAAGTTTTGTCTCATTTCATCTTCATACCAACTCCACGAGGAAGGTACTGGTGTCATTCCACTTTAGAGAACAAGAAACATACTCAGAGAAGTTAAACGGATTTCAAAGGTCACACAATTAGGACATGAGTGGAGCTGTCATTCGAGTTCAAGCTGTATGATCCCAAAGTTCATTTTTTTTCCTTAAACTTGCAAGGTTTTCTCCTATGTGATATTCATATTTCATCATAAACTATCCAGAGAATAAGGCCTGCATTCCTGCCTCTAATTTTATTTTCTAAACTAAGCATGCAAGTCTCTTGGAGAACATGTGGTGCTTTGGTGGATGCTTAATAAACACCATTTCTTGGGCTCTCAAGTACCTCATACACAGTAAGCAGTAAAGGTTGGTTTCCCACCTCCAGGCTTTCCACCTACATCGCTGACTGCTGTGTAAGCAAGCTCATGTGTTCATTATATTCCTAGGTAGGGTACTTTCTGCAAAGATGGAAAATACTGTCTTCCAAATTTCACATAATCATGCAAAATCTCTTAAGAGAAAAATTAGCACTTCATAGCGACAAAAATAAATCATGGTATCATAAGGAGAGATTTCTTTTGAGTTTATTAGTATGTGTCCTTTCTGCCTAATTCCAAGTGCCTTCTTGCAATTGTTGAGGGAAAAACAAAGACTTCCAATTGTTGGTGGTTTCTGTTCCAGGTGTGTGAATATCCTGATGGAACTAAATCTTTGAAACTGGGGGACTTTGGGCTGGCTACTGTGGTGGAAGGCCCTTTATACACAGTCTGTGGCACACCAACTTATGTGGCTCCAGAAATCATTGCTGAAACTGGGTAAGACTCCTGGTGCTTTTGGTCAGTGCTTTAACTTGGATGGGAATAGGTATGTTTTTGTTGTTTCTGCTGTTTGTGTATTCAGTGTCTCCTGTGAAGGTGGAGAATAGGAGGAAGAGAGAGAGTGTTACCTGCACCATGACTTTGACCTCAGGAACTAGAGTTTGTACTTAACCGTGCAAGAGCCCTAGGCCTGGACTTTTTGTGCAAAGGCCAGTCTTGAGAACATAGCAGTAGCCACTGAGATTGTAGTTAAGTTGGGAAAAAAAGAGATGTGTTTGTCCAAAGGGTAATTAATTCTTCTACATGAAATAAACAATTTGATACCCCCAAAGACCCTTTTTCCTAATAAACAAAGGCAATATGCCAGTAATGTGGAAGGTTTCTGGGAATTGTATCATTATTTCTCCCCTCTCCCACCCACTTTGTTTTCCCAGCTATGGCCTGAAGGTGGACATTTGGGCAGCTGGCGTGATCACATACATTCTTCTCTGTGGATTCCCACCATTCCGAAGGTCAGTAGCTCTTTGACCATATTTGAATTGTAAATTCTCTCCCTTTGGTCCAGAAGCAGATACTTTACTCCTGGTCGTTGGAAACAGAAACTGGTTGGTCAATAAAAATGTCAGTTAAAAATTACATTAAACACACTTTTCATTTTTTATCTTAGTTTACAGTCTATTAATAATGTATATTCATTGACCATACTTTTCATGTGAGTGCAAGGCCTTTGCTTTGTGTATGGTCCTCTGACTTCTTGTGGTCATTCTTTCATAAAATACATGCATAAACAGTGTCCGTAATTTCCAATTTCTCAGTCTTTTTAAACAAGAAAAATTTTAAGATCCTCATGAAGCAACCTGCATCCTTCTACTGGTATACCTTTTTCCAGTTCTTGATGGTTGTCTTTCTTACTTAATTTGATAGCAATTTTTTAAACAACTTACTTTCATATCTTTCCAAGGCATTCAACTTTGCTCTCATAGAAACAGGAACTCTTTCTTTTTAAGTTCATTTTGTCAGCTCACATAATATTTAATTAAGTACAATTACAGATACTGTTGGCATAAACAGGCCTGGGAGCAAACAGACTGACTCTTGGTAACCATAGCCTTCACCTGGCTATGCACAGAGGCGTGCATAGAGGTGTGCACAGATGATGGTCAAGGTGTTTGACAAGGGCCCAAAGTACACGTGTTGACCCAGCAGTCTGGGTACCGGGGGTGAGTGAGGGACTTCAGCCACAGCTTGTCTTTTGATCAGTTTTATCTCCGACTCTGGAGCATGTGAATGACTTTGAAGCAGAAGTTCACCTAATGATACTGTGTTTGATTTTCTTCTGTGTTTTCTTGAGCTATCTTTTCATTTTAATCCCTTCCTTTGTTCACTTTACAAATATTTGTTGAGCAGCTTTGTGTACCAGACACTCTTTTGAGTGCTGGGAATAAAGTGGTAATCAAATCGTAATCCCTGAGGTCATGGTTTATCTTAGTCCGTTTGGGCTGCTAGAACAAAATACCATAAACTGTGTGGCTTATGAACAACAGATTTATTTCTCACAGTTCTGGAGGCTGACAAGTCCAACATCAAGGCACCAGTAGGTTTGGTGTCTGGTGAGGGTCCACCTCCTGATTCATCGACAGCCATCTTCTCCCTGTTACTGCGTAGTAGATCTCTGTGGTCTTTTATAAGGGCACTAATCCCATTCATGAGGGCTTGACCCTTATGACCTAATAAAGTCCCAAAGGCTCCACCTCCTTATACCATTCTTTAATACATTGGGGATTAGGTTTCAACATGTGAATATTTGGGGGAGACAAACATTCTGTCTATGTCATGGTGTTTATAGTACTGGGTTAGTTATGTACTGGGTCAGGAAGTAAAAAATAGGTTTATCTCTACCCCCCTCAACATTTTATTATAAAAACTTTCAAACATACAGAAAAGTTGAAAGGTTGATCTTTTTTAAATTCTCAGTTTTTCAATTGAATTGAACAATTTTTTTTTTTTTTTACTGACATTGCGGTAAGCACAAGAATGACACAGAGATGTTATTCTCTACTTTTGAGAGCCTTATGGTGTAGATAAAGATACACATCACAAGAATATTGATGAAGAAGAATAAACTGACCATGAGGGCATGCTTAGCTGAGGGCTGGAAATCACAAAAGGTTTAGTGAAAGATGAGCATTTTAGTGAGACCTTGTGGGGTTTTTATAGGTGAAGCTCTTTCCATCTGGCTGTCAACATCATGGTCTTCCACCAAGATCATTGCCTAGGTCGGTTACACAGACTGTAGGATTTACTGCACATATCTGTTAGCTGAATAACAAACTACTCCCAAAGTTATGGTTGTAAACAGTTCTGCAGGACAATTAGATGGTTCTTCTGGCCTGGGCTGGCTCAGTGGAGGCGTGATGGCCTAGGACAGGCTCCCTCACATGTCTGATAGCTGGCTGCATGTCCGCTGGGACAACAGAGATGACTTGGCCTTTCATCCTCCAATGGGCTAGCCTGGGCTTCATGTCATGGTGGATGCGGGATTCCCAAAAGCAGCCAGAGAAAGCATGAGCTGGATCCAGCACCCCAGCACTTTCTGCATCTCTGCTTGCCTCATGCTTGTTGATATCCATTAAGCAAATCAAGCCAAATAGCTGATCCTAGAGTAAATGTGGGAGAAAATGAACTAAGTTAATACATAGAGGGAGGGGAATAATTTGTTGCCATTTTTACAGTCACATTGGGTGTTGGCTGGTGTCAGTGATGGCCTGTATTGGGAACTAGTCAAATGTACAAAGGTAGTGTGTTTTGATAGCAGGTGATCCTGGAGCCAGCTAAGTTCTCCTCCTTGTTTAACCCAAATTGAGATCAGCTGGAAAAGGGTATTGGGGATCAGTTTTAGAGGAATGTGTGCTCACAACTCCCTCTAGTGTTCCCAGTTGCCAGTGAAGCCTGGGAGTTTTTTCTTTGTTTTTTACTTTTTAACAAAAACGAGACTCAGATTAAACAGTAGATACTAATCATGGATTGTTATTTAGTGGGCACCAGCTTCTTTGTAGAATCTGGAGATAAGTTTGGCTAATCAAAAGCAGTAAAGCTACATCCTGAAAGCTGCTGCCCATATATGTTATATTCAGAAGCAGGTCGTATAGCTCCAGGTAGCTTACTTTTAAACTTTAAGAAAATACTTTCCCTCTTTCATATTATATTGTGATGTAAGAGAATCTATATGTTAAACAATAGTTAGAGAAGCATCTTCACAGCATACAGAGACATTCTGGATAGATTTTGTAACCTACTATAATATAAAAATGAATATAGTAAATTATGGAAATGGTACTTTAAATAAGGATAAATGATTATGGCATAAAATAGATTACCAACATAAATTTTTATCTAAAAAGTCTCTCAAACAAATATTTCAAAATGTTTTCTTTGTTTTACACAAAAACTTTCACCCAAAGCTTTTAAACTAAAATTGTTATTTGGAATTTACAGTTTCAGCTTCTCTAACTGTAGCATCTCTCATTCTTTCTTATTTTAGACTTGTCAAGTTTTATTCTTAGCTTGACATGTGTTCTGCAGTCTTTTTCAACATCAGATTCATCATTACTATGAAGAAGATTGGTTTTTCAGAGGTGCCCAAAATTTTAGTTTTGCCTAAGCAAGTCTATTCTTAGGGCCACTGACAAAAAGTATTATTTGTATGACCGTGCTGAGATTTTTGATGTTTCTTTTAAAACAGACATATACACACCCCGTAAGTGAAATGTCTGGACATCATTTGTGAATTAGTTTTCAGGTTACCTTTTCTGACCTTTAATGACTTATCATTGAAAAAAGAGAGTTTGCACAAATTCTTTTGTTGGTTTTGAAGTTTTTCTTAATGGGCATTTTTAGATTTACAGCACCTTGCCCCAAGGGCTATATTGTTTTAGATTTTTTTTAAAAAGTGTCCTGAAGCATCTCAGCCAGATTGTAGAGTATAAATGTGATAATAAATCCAGTGTAGATTTAATGACAGTAGCTTTTCTTACATGACTACTAAGAAGGATAAAATATCTTTAGCTTTCTGTTCTTCTACTGCGGGGCAGCTGAAACTGCCAAAGCCCTTGCAGTTTTCAGCATTGATCCTTCAGGGTCCTGTTCTAATTGCTGAGACGTACTAGGGTTTTATTTGTTGACACAGGATATCTTGCCAAGAACCAAGTGTTATAAATAACTGCTGCAGACAGATTTCCAGCTTTTTAGCTATTTATTTAGCAAAATAAAAGCTATATGGATTAACAAAACGTAAACTATTTGAGATTCCAAAAAAATAAAGGGAAGACAAGTGGAGTAATAGGGGAGAGATGGCTAAAAGGAACAATTCTGGAAATAGGTAATTTTTTTATATCTTCTAACACCCTGTTGGGGTTCTCCGGTTTTCTAAAGATTTCTGTAAAAATTTCATTGTGTTTCTTTACTCATTTTGAAACAGTATTGAGCTGAGTTCAGTCAGCAGGGAAATAACAGTGAAAAGGGGGAAAAAAACAGTTTGACACCTAGAAAGTTTTGGGGAGAGCAGCGGGGATCCCTTGCCTTGCCTGGTGATCTGGCCTGACTTTCCTTCTCAGAGTGCCTCAGCTGGGCTTGGTTAGATGTCATGGATATTCGTAAAGCTCACAAACTCTACTCTTTTTACCGGAACAGGAATGAGGCAGCCGTATCATCTCACAGCCCTAGAATTTCTGTCTAGACACTGCCCTGGACAGTCTGTTTCTAGGGCACCACACTTGTCCTGTCCCCCTTTGAGAGGGTTGATAGCAAAACCCTGAAGGCTGGGTGGAGAAATTCCAAGTACTGTTGCACGCTTGCGACGTAACTTCCAGCCCTGGGTTTGATCTTGACTCCGGCCCATTCTGAGTTTTCTTCTGGGACCCTAGAAAGTGGATGACATTGTTCCTCACTCTGGCCCTCACTGCACCCACCGAGTGAGGGGGGCTCTGTGGCCATGCAGGTGAAGTTTTATGGGAAGTGGGGGACATCCGACATCCTGAATTTTTCCCAGTGGTGTTTTCACATTTCCTTGGCACCTTCCATCAAAAGTCAAGTGATTGTTTATTTGTTCGGCACCAACTGTGTGAGCAAGTGCACGTGTGAGGATGGGATGGTCAGGCACAGGTTGGGGAGGGACGCCCACCTATGAGCAACCAAGGTGGGTTTGCCTCAGCCTGCGCAATTTTAGTTGGTGTCCTTGGATGGGCTCTTTCTCTCAGACTGAACTTAAGTGGAAGTCAAGCTCTAATAATGAGCTATTAAGTCACGAATGTTTTGTCCAGATTTTTTCATATGCTGCCTATTGTACTAATCTTTTGCTATTCTATTAGAAAAGTGGGAAGTAGACCTGACTCAGATTTGCTGCTGCTCCACTCTTATTGCCACGAGAGATTGAATGAGGACATATGCTGATTTTTTTTTCCCTGAAGTGAAGATTTAAATTATTTGTGGATTCATTTTTTCTTGCATTTATTGTGGTAAATATGCATAACATGAAATTTACCATTTTTAAGCATATAGTTCGGTAGTGTTAAGTACATTCACATTATTGTGCAACTATCACCACCATCCAGCTCCAGAACATTTTTCATCTTCCCAAACTGAAACTCTGCATTTGTAAACATGTTTCCTGAGTCATTTTCTCTGTCTCTGTCTGATTCCCAGGCCTGTGGAAACGTTCTTTGGCTTATTGTCTAAAAGGAAAAATTTATCACAAATGCAATTGAGAGATACAATAGAGATATGAAATGCCTGAGCTAGAAAGACTGGACTCCTTTCCTCAACCTTCCCATGAGCATTTTGTTGAAAAACTGTATGGTGACTTTGACTTTTCTTCCATTTCTTTGTCACTAGTGAGAACAACCTCCAGGAAGATCTCTTCGACCAGATCTTGGCTGGGAAGCTGGAGTTTCCGGCCCCATACTGGGATAACATCACAGACTCAGCCAAGGTAGCCATCTGGACCTGTTTCTATGGGTTGAGTTACGTTGGGCAGTCCTCACCCATTGCGTGGGGCTATAGCTTCTCTTCGTACTGAGCTCTAGGGACTTTGTCGACTTTTTTCTTTTAATTTTTATTTTTTGGCAGCTGGCCAGTATGGGGATCCAAACCGTAGATCTCAGTGTGATTGGCACCACTCTCTCAAGTGAGCTCACCAGCCAGCCCCGACTTCCTTGACTTTTAATGTGTGGTTCTTCTTTTTGTTCATCTCATGGTGTGGTCTCTGGAGTTCTTAACCAAATTCTGAAAGCTGGTCTGGCTCTCTTGCTACTTTGCCCTACTATCCTACCATGCTCCTCTAAGCTCTAAACATTCATTCTTTCATTTATTCAGGAAATATGTATTGACTATAGTTATGAACTCAAGAGACATACTGAATTGCCAAAAGGAAAAACACTGCAATTTTACTCTGTGGAATTGTGATAATGACCAGAACTCTTAGGAGAAAACGTCTTGGTTTCATGCAGACTCAGAAGAGACCTTCTCTTCTTTGGTAATTCTGCTGACATGAGGCAGCTGCATTTGGTGTAAGTGCCTGGTAGGCACTAGGAGTATAGGTGATAATAGTTTTAAGTACAAATGGTTGAGCAGCTATGTTGGCTATTCTTCTTGAAGTGCTTGGTGTAAACTCAGATTTCCGTACTTATGCTGCAATTATCCCCTTTCTCCTCCTATATGTTCTTATTTACTTATTATTTATTTATAGGAATTAATCAGTCAAATGCTTCAGGTAAACGTTGAAGCTCGGTGTACCGCAGGACAAATCCTGAGTCACCCCTGGGTGTCAGTAAGTACCCACAGTCCCAGGGAATGAACGTCTGTGCGTGCTGTGGTCACCAACAGCATGCTTCCTCGCTGTGGTTTTTGTATGTGCAAAGTTCTGCATCCACATTCTATGGCAGACAAAATGTCTGTGTTTCCTAATGAGCAAGTAGCATAAAGATAGCTATCTGGGAGAACGCAGTCAGCACCAGGGTCCCAATCTTAGATCCTGCTCTGTGAGAAACCTAGGCGAGTCACTGTCCCTTTCTGGGCCTCAGTTTCTTCATCTGTGAAATAGCAGGGTTGGTCATGATGCCCCTAAGGAGCCTTTTAGCTCTCAGTTCTGTAGCTCTTCTTTGAAAGTTTTCAGGGTTTGCCCTGGAGATGAGCATGTTTCAGACTCTGATCTCTGTCTTTATGGCACATGGTCACAGGAGACCTCCTGCTGTTGATGGGGAGGCTGAGAGACAGTCCCCTTGAGAGCTGGGCAGAGGGTAATGTTGACCTCTGGGCTTAGGGTAAACATGGTCCATTAGAGGTGACTGTGGGAGAGTTGGCATTTCCCTCATTTCCAGAGGTTCCAGGAGCATGAAGTTAATTGACCTAGCCAAAGGCTTTTGCTGACTTGGTGGTTCCCTGTGCACCTCTACTGCCCTGCACGTTCTGAAGTCAAGGGCGGCCTCTCTGAACCCTGCTTGCCGCTCTCCTGGGCTTAGGGACTTGGCTCCTGGACCAAGTAGCTGAGATGCCACATTTCTTTATGATTAGAAAAGACTAACAACTAAATGCATTCTTGATTAAAATGATAAACTGTTAATTAATCTTGATGTTTCCTTGGGAAAGATCATACTAACTTCTGTTCCTGGGAGGGAGGGTCTCAGAAGCCTAAAGAATGTCCTCCTTGTGCCATCGGAGACCTGTGTTCTTTCCTTGACTCTAGGCCTGAGGCGTGGAGTGACTGGTATAGGGTCTTTCTGAGGACACAGGACTTCTGAATAACAATTATTTTTGAAAGATCTTTGTTTCCTTAGTTTTGTGGCTAAGATGGGTCCATTTAGGAAGAGGTCAGGAGACTCGGGGAGGCCGGGGGGCTGTTAAGGAAAAGACAGCTTAAAGGTAAGGATCAAATATTATTGTTTGATTTTCTTTCTTTAGGATGATGCCTCCCAGGAGAATAATATGCAAGCTGAGGTAACAGGTAAACTAAAACAGCACTTTAATAATGCGCTTCCCAAACAGAACAGCACCACCACCGGGGTCTCCGTTATCATGGTAAGTGGGATGCATAGTTCTGCCATGGAAAGCTGCAGTGTCTGGCCTGACTGCTGAGCCAGCGCTGAATCTTTTGAAGTAAATAGCCAAGAGCTTCTTTCACATGGAAGCTGGTATCTTCCATGTTTCTACTTTCACTTGAAGATTGACTTGGCACGTGAAGCGCAGTCATGTGGCCTGACTCTCAGGCCTGGGGCACTGCAGGTACCAATAAGGTCAGTCTGATGGGTCCAGGTGCCAAGGAGCTCCTGGGCTTGGGGCCCCCCTGGACAGTTGCTTCCACTCTCTTCTCTGCTTTCTCATCTGGAGAGAGATTCCCAAGCCCGGGTGGGATTTGCAGTATAAGGAAATAACTCCCTACCCATTCAAGGCTTCAAAAATAGATTATTCGAGGCATGAATTATTCTTTGGGATAAAGAAATAGCCAAAGCTAAACAAATTTCATTTTTTATAAAAATATTAGTTTTTTCAGGGCTGGTAAAATTTTATGAGAAGTCAGTAACAATAATCACCATATTTTTTTCAGAATTTTCTTCTTCCAAAATGGTTTTTAAGGTATCTTACCCAAATAGATAAATAGAACAGATTAAAATGGAAAGTAACATTAAAGTGAAGCAAAAGGAAAATATGGGCAGAAAAAATAGAACTGAACCAGAAGTGAGTACACCCAGCCCTGGCTTGGAAAGCTGGGCCATGAAGCTGCTCTGAGTGCCTCTCTGCCTGTCATGGTGCACAGGTTCAAACCAGCCTGTGTCCTGGGCAGTGGTGCCCATTCTCCCTGCCCCACTCACAGGAGCAGCGAGCAGGTATGCAGTGCCGTCCCCAGAGCCAGAGTCAGCTGGAGCAGCTTCAGAGCCAGACTTTATGAGGTGATGGGGCCTGCAGTGTTAGCACCTGGGCCACCTGTGACTGAGGTCGGGTCCTGACAGCTAGTGAGGGGCCATCTCCACAGCTCCATCACTCTTACCTCAGGTCACCCTCTGGGAAAGCGTCTGTTTGTTTTGTACCCAGCTAGAGAGAAAACAGTTGCTTGTTTTCATGGCACTTCGTAGTCTAGCACTCTTGCCTAGGAGGACGTGGGGTCCAGATAGAAGCTGGAAGGACTGTCCCCCCCACCCCACCCCCAATCCCCGGCCCTGTGACTGCTCCGCTGTACTTACCCAGCATCCTCCCGGGGAGGCCGTGCTGCTTTGGCAGGCCTCTGTATGTCCCTGCGGCTCCTGCCGGAAGTGCCTCTCCAGACAAAGCCTGAGTTTGCGAACTGGGGTGCTCTGTGCCAGCATAATGGGAAGGTCTCTTGAGTTGAGGTTTTTCCCAGTATTTGAGTAGTGTTTTGCTGAAAGCCTGAGAAGTTCAGAGTTGTCACAGAATTACAGTTTTTTGAACTCTTTGAAAAAAGAACCATCTTGACTAAGCCAGCAGTACAAGATCATTTGCAAGTGACCCCCTCGCAAGGGCTGGTATTGTCGGATGGGATGCATAGTGCACTGTCTTGCCGTGCTCTGTGTTGTGAGGCTGCTTTGGGGAAATTTTAGACAAAGCGCTAAAAATTGGCATACTCAACGTGTCATGAAAATCTTTAAATACAGAGATTTGTTGGAATCAAAATTTAATGACTGTATGATAATTAAGCCTCAGAGTCTCCCCTTAGGGGAGGAACCATTGGCTTAGGAGAATTCACTCAGTGACTCTTAAGGGTCCCAGATAGGAACTCAGGGTCCCAGATAGGAACTGATAGCCAAAGGCCTGTGCCCAGCTCTTTATGACCAACTCTCAGCTGAGGTTCTGGAGCAACTGGCCATTCTACCGTATGGCCTGGTATAGGCTCTGTTCTGGATAATGACACCTACCCCCCTCCCTCAGACAGAACCTATATCATGTGGTTTACAAATGGTATTTTTCCATTTGCTGAAGGAGTTCAGCGGTCAAATGTCAGACCCCTGAGCTTTAACAGGAGGTTTGTGTGAATCTGTAATTCCCGTGGTGATTGTACAAGTTGTGTGTTTACATGTGTGTTCAGTTGTCATTTTGTGCAAGTTAGCAGGGTTCCCTCTAACCCCATGTTCCCTACACAACTCTGCAGGTTGTAGCTCTGAGGGACTGCTGAATGTCATGATCACAATCCGTACCTACAGGAGAAATCAATAAAGCTCGTCTCTGGCAGATTCTCAGTGGTCAGAAAGCTGGCCTGTGAATTCTGACTTGTCCCCAGCAGCGGGGGACTAATCCTCTCCCAAGTCAGGACCCGGCCTGGGGCATGGTTGTGTGGGGAAGCTGGTCATGCTTCTGTGTCTCCTCCTCACCATTCCTGTGTGTCCGTGTGTCCTGTCCTTGGGAACAGTTTTAAATGTTTTTCTATTAAAACTAACCTCAAAATGACGCTCCCTGGTATTCATATGTTCTCATAGCTGGAGGATGTGAGGCTGATATCATATCAGATCATAGTGGAAACAGCATATAAATGTTTTGAGGCTGAATCATCAGACCACTGTTGTATAACTTACAGATAAAACCTTTCTATCTATAATTACCCTCCCCAAAGTTTGGTGCCTGAGTCTCCAGTGATAAAATTATAGATGGGAATTGGTAAATAAAGGTGAATGAAAGTAAAGTTGATGCTATTGTCTGCATTTTATTTGACAGTTTGATTTGACAGTTTGAGAGAGACCTCAGAGTTTCGTTTACCCAGTTGAGACTATGGGAAATCCTGAAGCAAAATCCTGGTATTCAACATGCTGTGCTTAATCAGAGCAACTCCTAATTTTCAGCCCCTCTTAAATCTGCATGCTTACCTCAGATTTCTGACACTGCCGTCCAGCTCTTAGCTTCTCATTGGTGTGGTCTCCTGTACCTACTGACCTCCTTCCAGCCAGCCGAGCACACCCTTGGAAAACTTTAAAACTTCCCAGCTTGCCAACACTGCCTTCCTTCCCAGATCAAAACCTGGCGAGTGCATGGGAGGAGGATTCCAATAATTCTGCTAAATGTTATTTTTTATTTAGGTGAAAAAGTATCTTCTTGTGAATGACAGCATAGGATGGGTGCCTTTGTAAAGGCTTGTTCTCTTTCTCCATCTACACGTCCAAAGATGAATTTTTATCAATAAGACAGTGTAATGGCAGCCAGCCTTTGGGATAAAGAAGAGAATTAGATTAGGTTTTGGTTTCAGAGAGGCCTGTGGGATGGCACTTGCATTCTCTTCGACTTCCTTAGCACGCTTAGGAAAGGACGGTGCATTTGCAGGACGGCTTCATCGTTCATCCCCTGGGCTCATCCCAGCCTGAGACTAGAAGAGGCCGCCTTGTGGCAGGAAAGGGAACGGTGAGGAGCGGCCCTCACTCTGCCCCTGGCTGCGCAGACTTGAGAAAGGATGGATGCAGATAGATTGCTTTTTCTGCTCAGGGACTGTGCTTCCTTTCAGGGTGAAATTGGGGAACGATTTGGGTTTGTTTCCTTAATTTAAGATAAGACAAAACTGTTTTACTCGTGTTGCTTCTGTTTAAAGTAAGTCTAGTTTCTGTCCCTGCTTCTCTCCTGCCTCCTCTTGCCACTCCCGCCGCCTGCATTGCTTCCCTCTGACTAGGTCCCAGGCCATGGTACGTACTAACTGCACCGCAATGCTCCCTTCTGCTGCTCACCTGTGTGTCCTCTCGACAGGAAGGGAAAAGGAGAAATAACTGGGGGGTGGCTGTTTTCTTCTACCTAGTAGAAATGATGTGGTAGGAAGAAGTGTCGGCTGCCTCTCTCTGTTGTCAGCATTGGTGGCTTCTTTCACTAGGGGGTGGTTTGGCTGCCTCTGATGCTGGGAGCGTGGAAGCTAAGTTTGTGACCAGGCCTTTCCACAGTTACCTCTTCTCCAGGGAACTGAAATTGTCCTTGGAAATTATAGAATGTTCAACCGAGCTCAGCAGGGCCTGTGGAGACCAGCAAGTGTACTGAAGGCAGCCACATAGTCTATCTTAGAAAGCCCTGTGGTTGACTTATTTTCTCCATTTTTTTTTCTTTTGGTTAAAGTCCTGAAAGAATCTGTAGTGCATTTCCCCCCCAGGGTATTTAGATTACAAAATGCTTCCTGGTCATTGTCCCTTTTAGCTAGAGATGTCTGGGAACCACAGTCACATCACGTTTGGGAAATCCAGTGAGACGGCAGCTTGATGTGTATAACTGGACAAGCAAGAAATGCTCCAGGTGTGTCAAAGGAGGAGAAGAGAAGACTAGGTCTCACTTCCCACTCTGGGTTAGAAAGCAAGGTGATTTCCTCACATTTCTGGGGCTATTGCTCTGCTCCCCGAGGAGCTGAGCAGATTAAAAACTTTGGAGATGTGACAAGGTCAAGAGGCCTTCCCTCACATGAAGAGGAGAGGAGGTAGGAGATTGTGGAGGGTCTGAAAAATGGATAGTATTGCTCCATCTGACTCCAGGCCTTGTATAGGTAGCACAACCACTTGGGCCGTAAGGGGATTATTTATTTATATAGCATATGAATAACTTTCAACCTGTAATGGAGAACTTTCTTTATAAAAGTAAACTGCCAAGGACTGAGTGCCATTGTAGGGTTTGCCTTTTGTCTCGGGATTTTGGGGGCTTAAGGTCTGGGCGTGGGCAGAACCCCCCAGAACTCAGGCACAGCTCAAAGCTTGGAGAAGAATCACCTGAGGCTGCCATCCGGAGCCCAGCTACCACCCACTTGTGCTTTCCCTGGGCCGGCAGCCCAGTTTCGATGGGAGCAGAGGCCAAGGATAGATGGTTCCCCAGGGGAGGGTACCCTAAACCACTGCTTTTTGGTAGGCTTCTGTTAGAAGCTGGACGTTATTTCTCCTCTTCTGTTTCTGAGTCTCGTGCATGCTCTGTCGTGCTCTCTGATCGTGGTAGCTGTGACCCAAGTCTGGGCTGAGGTAATGTGTTGTCTCTGCTGGTTTTTCCTCAGAACACGGCTCTAGATAAGGAGGGGCAGATTTTCTGCGGCAAGCACTGTCAAGACAGCAGCAGACCCGGGATGGAGCACATCTCTGCAGTTCCTCCCTCAGCCGAGGAGCCCCCTGTGTCTGGGGCAGCAGCCCTGGCCTCGGCCCCTCCGGAATCTCCCACACCCCCCTGTCCTCCTGCTGCCATAGGCTGTGAGCGGGCAGGGACCTGGCGCCGCCACCGTGACTGAGCCTTGTGCAGACAGGCCGAAGCCGCCTGCTGCTGTGCCAGGAGCCGGCTCGTCTGCTCAGCCTGGCCGTGCCCCTCTCACTGAAAGCCTTTCTCTCTTGACTGCTTGCTCGTGAGTTTGCTGGCATTCTCCTCAGGCTGCCTGGGAACCAGGAGCCCGGTGCTGGGGCGTGGCCTTGTCTGGCACTCTGGGCTCTGCCTTCAGTTCCTGGAGGTATCATATACCATGTCAGCTTTGGTGACAGATATTCAGAATAACTCATTTTAAATCATCCATGTTTTCAGTTCAGTGACATTTTACAGCTTCACCAGGAGAATGTGCAACTTTTATTCAGTATTAAATGCATTTTTATAGAAATACTTTGGATGAACCAAGATCTCTCCCTTATTTTAAACTCAAGTGCTCCTCTTTTTTTTTTTTTTTTGTACAAAAGACTTAGAATTGTATTTGTCCCTGTGTGGGTGTCCTGTGAGAAGTGACATGACACCTTCCTCTGCTGAGGGGGGTTGAGGGGCCTGGCTTTCTAATAGAAGAAATGAGCACCTAAGAGGACAATCTGGTCGTTGGACACTAATTCCAGACTTTGAGAAGTGCTTTCAGACGCCCAATGAAGCAGCACAGCCAATCGGCTGGCGGCGCTGGGCTCACTTAAGACAACACTTGGTATTTATTTGTACACAGACTACAGCAGGTCACTTCTTCCCTAGACGTTGTGTCTTTCCCCAACTCTTCTCACTTATGTATTAGGAAATGCTCATGAAATTGCCCTTTGGGTTTTCTACCGGAAGGCTTGGTGCATGTGGCATTGCCCTGGCTGAGGCAGTTTCTTTTCAGCAAGCCGGTCACTACGGAGCAGAGTCAATCGCGTCCCAAGTAGCCACCAGTGTCTCCTTCCATCATCCGCTTTTCATCTGGAGCAGGGCCGGACATCGCAGCGAAGAAACTTGCCTCAAGGCAGTCAGGACTAGGGCCGCTCTGTTGTCAACCTTCTCAGAGGCTGCTGGCAGTCTTTCCTTTTCCCTCCACCCTGCTCCTTTTAATAATTGTACGTAATCAGTGTATTAGTTTTCCTGCTCATCTTCTAAACTAGTGGGCCCTGTAGTTCATTCTCACTGTTGGATTTTTTGCCTTCTACAAGTGTACCCAACCTGCAATAAACTCTTTCCTCTTGAGAAAAAGTAATTAGGGATGGCAAAGATTTCTGTGTTGTTGTTCAGCAGAGGACATGTGATCAAAGCTCGCATCTTTGGCCTATGTTCCGGCAAGTGCCAGTGGCTGTTTTTACAAGTCTTTAGGGTCACCAAAGGGAAGGGAAGGCTTGGGAAGAACAAACAGATGTGTCTTGGTTGAAGTTTGTCGGATTACAGGTGCACAAACTCACAAACCAAAGCTCAAAAATAAGTAGAGGTTATCACTATAGGACAGAGGGATCTTATAGAACCAGCAGCAGGGAAGATCAGGCTTCATAGGAAGTAAGTCAGGATGGCTATTCCCCTGTGTGTGTGTGTGCGTGTGTCTGTCTCAGAGGTTGTGCAGTCTCCTGTCTGCTTTTTTTTTTTTTTTTTTTTTGTCTTTT